TTTTATCCTGTATATCGAAAAATGATTTTACTATTTTGAACGTTATTAATTTATTAACAAAAATGTTAAGAAAAAAAATTATTTAAATAATAAAAACATTCCATTTTTTGAAGTCATAAAAAATTATTTTTATTACAATAATTTCAAACCAAGATTTAACCACCCCAAGAATTTTTAATACAAATTGAAAAAAAATAGCAATTGTTTTGTAATGAAAAAAAAGATTTCATCAGAAAAAAACATCGAAAAAATGAAACACGCAAATTTGGTTTTAGTGTAAAAAACAATTTTAAATGTTATGAAATATTATTTGTCCAATTAAATAAATAGCAACAAAATAATTGTAATGTCTGGTAATTATATTGTAAAAATGATGAGTAAAAAGCACCTTGCATTTAATTACAAAACCATCTATTTTTAACTTTCAAAAAAAGATACAAATAATTTGAATTTGCACATTAAAAAAATTCCCATGAAAATCAAATAAAAAATGTTTTATTATTATTAAATTATATTAAAAATTATAAATAAAACATTAAAGCTACCAAAGCCAACTTAAAGGTACCTAAATAACAATCAAACTATCTTAAAACAATTAATACAATCCCACAACTTCATATAAATAAAAATTTTGAACTAAAGGAATAACTCGTCTTGGGTTACAAAATTCAATGTCTTTGAATATTAAATTCAACACTCAAAAACGACATTGAACTTCTAAAAAGTAAATGTTGTTGTATCTTTTAGTATTTATATACTCTTCGTATTCACAAGACATAAAGTGTAATCCGGGTTGTCCATACAGCAACTGTTTAACAAATTACACTTGTAAGACTTCTTGTGGTCCAAATTATGATAACGACAACACGTGTGACCATTGTAAATTTACGGACCCTTACAATGAAAACATCCCAATATACTTTCCAGACAAATTAGAGTTGGTGTGTAAAGAGTTCAACCACCTCCACAAAAGAGCAGGCTCGACTTTTTTACCAGAAGACTCTTCTTTTCTAATCATTGAATTAAACAAAGAGATCACTTTTCGACTCGATGAAGATACAAGTGACATCGACAACTCATTTTGTTACTACAGACAGAAATTCCGAGTGGGTCAATGGCTCAAGATGAACATGAGTCAAGTGACTCACGACCACTTAGTTATTACTATTAAAAAGACTTTCAACGAGTCTGCAGAGTTCTATTTAGATGGGACAAAAAGTCAATATGACACTTTAATGCCAACGTGCGATGTCCACACGACTTTAGGGTTCTCCGAGTACTCTTCTGTATTAAAATTTCCAGTGTTAAATCCGTACAAAAACACTGAGAAAGATGGAGATTCCTTTGAATATTATTTCTTTGCCAATTTAAGAGGACTCAGCCCAGTGACTATGACTTTGATATTCACAGAGGAACAAGGCAAGAATTGGGAACCCTACTTGCGTCTCAATCAAACATTCTCTGATACTCTTTTAAACAGTTTGGGTACTTCAGTTGACTTTGTGATACCTTTTGAGTCGACTGGTATTTTCACGTACCCTGCTTGCATGCGGAACAAATACTCGAAGATAGTCTTATTCACAGTGGAGTACCAAGGGTCTTATTCTCTGTTGTTAAATGGGAAGAGTGGAAATCGAGTGAATTACCTTTCAGAATATGTGGAGACAAATGACTCTGTTTCTGGACAGACTAATAATTGTGTGCATTTGTGGAGTGGCGAGAACTATGGAATCAACTCTGAAATATCTAACTACGGATTTCTTGCGAAGATCAATGGGACTGTTTCTGGTGTACGTCGCTTTGTGATCATCTCAGAAGACTATCGAGCGGAAATCACTTTAAAAGTGTCTGCGATATGTCCCGACAACTGTAATGCTGAGAAGGGGTATGGCTATTGTGTGACTTCAAGTGGTAGATGTGAATGTGCTGATGGATATGGAGGGGATAGTTGTATCCCAAAGTGTTACTACAACAATCAGTGGACCACCTCTGATAATGCAGATTTGTGTTATTGGGGCGCTCCCAATTGTGATCAGTACTGCAAATGTACAGGTGGCAAAACTGTTAAAAATCACATGTGTCTGTCTAGTCAGTGTAGTGCCGGTAAAGTGGGAGATACCGATGAGTGTAAAGGAAATACAGAAGGCTGTTTTGAGAGTTGCACTTGTATGAAATACATTGGGTTCTACCCAACTACCAATCAGATGTGTAAACATGAGTTATGTGGCAATGGTATCAAAGATACATATTATGATAATAAGCACAATATTATACGCACAGAAGACGTTTGTTTTCTATTAATAAGTAATAGTATAGTATTGTTTTTAATAATTAAGCTATACATTAGAATAACAAAAAGTGCGACAATGGAACATACTGCGACTCCTTTTGTAGATGTTATGAAGGGTATATCCCAGACCCAAATGATAACACTTCGTGTATTAAAAAGTCATTAAGTGGAGGCGCTATTGCGGGAATTGCTATTTCTGGAACAACTGTTGTTGTTATCTTATTAGTGATAATGGTAATTATAGTAATAGCATCGACTCGATATAAAAAGGTCGATATCAATATATTCAAAACACAACAACCGCAATACCACTACTATATTGGTGGTGCTCGAAAAATGAATGGCGATAAAAAGAATGGATTTGTTATTGATCCAATTAATCTGGATTTTGGAAATGCCACGAATGCAACAGCTATTTATGACACAAGATATCAAAAAATCGAAGTCACGAATTACAGTCGAAACAAATAGTTTGTTATTTATACCTATTTACAATAATTTTATACCTTTTTTATAATAAATTTGTACCTTTTGTAATGTTATTCAAATGATTAACAATTAGTTTAATGATCATATTCCACACCCCCAATAGTCCAAAATTCATATTCCATTTCGACCCACAAGTCCTCTACATCCCACCATCCTTCAATGGAAAAAACATGAAAATCATGACTTGCTACTTTACACTCTTTTGCACGACGAAAGTGCGTAACATGAAAATCCCATACACTGTGTGGATGTCGAAGAACCGTAACACATTAGTACAAATTAGTGAATTACTCCACAACAAAACGTTTGAAGGGTGGATTGAAGAAGACCAAAAACGGATTGAGCACCTTTGCAGAAATGTCCAGAGGAGGTACTACAACACGATCACGATTGAAACTGATGCGACGTCATCCACATATATAGATATGGATGAACTCAATATGAACGAGACTCCGATAGCTGAGGGAGCGATGGGGAAAGTGTTTATAGGCAACTACAGAAGTGTCCCCGTTGCCATCAAGCAGTTCAAGTGGGAGAATTTGTCAGACGATGAGATGAAAGAATTGAAGAATTCTGTGATAGCGGAGTGTGAGATGATGAGTAAACTACGCAATCCGTTCATAGCGAATTACATGGGGTCAGTGACTTATCTCCCACAAGTCTCAATGGTCATTCAATTCTTTGTGTTGGGCGCATTGGGGGAGTACTTACGTGATACCAAAGAGGACTTTCTACGTCTTCCATACAAACTGAAAGTGCGGATGTTGTTTGATACGGCACGTGGCATGGAGTTTCTTCACGAGAACAAGATCATGCACTTGGACTTAAAACCAGACAATTTGTTGGTCAACTCACTTGACTTCAACAGTGCCTGTACTATCAAAATCACCGATTTTGGGACATCGCGATTTACGAAGAAATCAATTAATAACAGCGACGACAAAGGACTCGGAACACCTATATACGCAGCACCTGAGACTTTTCAAGATGTCTACACTAACGCGGGTGATGTCTACTCATTCGCTATAACTGCGTGGGAACTCTTTTACCAAGAAGAACCTTATATGCACTTCAAGTCAATTTTTGAGATCAAAAAATCAGTGCAAGAAGGGAAGCGCCTTGAAATTGATCAAAAAATGCCCGTCTTATATAGAAAACTTGTAGAACAGTGTTGGAAACAAAACGGGTGTGAAAGACCCACTTTTGATTTGATTACAAAGTCGCTTGTAAAAATAGACGAGGATGTGATGTATCGACAAGACTTGGACGAAAGGGTTGAGCTGTATAAATTAAGTGACACAATTACTCAGAGGAACGCTAAACTCCACAAAATACTCGAAGAAATGTCCAGAGATTAATTCCGTTGTGTATATCTTACACATTTGAGTTATCACGTGTCTATATTTTTATTTAAAATTTGATAATTTGGGGTATTGGTGAAATTTTCATATAGATTAATTTATGGTTTATTATAATTATTCAAATCGTAATTGTATTTTATAATAATTATACCATTTTATAGTACAATTAAAAAAAATAAATAATTATAGTAAAACAACAATATTGATTTGTTTTCATTTATCGATTATGCCGTTTGTCTCTGCAAAATAAAACGGATTTGAACCAAAACAAGCCATTTTATGGTAAAAAACTAAAAAAAATAATAGTTGTTTTTACTTAAAAATATTGGACAATAATGGTTCTCAAAAATGTTAGAAAAGTCCACTTTTCACTCAAAACTGAGATTACGATCTTACCGAAAATGAGAAGAATGCCCGAATGGGCGGAACATATCTTTGTGGAAAAAACACGACTTCTTCTTATAAAAATCGAATAAAATGGAATAAGAAAGACGGAGCAATGGCTTCGAAAATTCGGCACTCGCATTTAATGCTCGAAAAAGGAACTTCAAAAGTAAACAATGTCCGTTCCTACCCCACACAACGAAGCAAAATTAGGCGACTACGCCGATACCGTCTTGGTCGCTGGTGACCCCCTCAGATGCAAGTTGCTTTCAGAGAAGTACCTTACTGAGGTAAAACAAGTCAATGGCGTTCGTGGGGCATTGGGATTCACAGGACTTTACAAAGGGAAGCGCGTGAGTATTCAAAGCCACGGCATGGGTATGGCTTCAATTGGAATATACACCTACGAGTTGTTCAACTTCTACAACGTCAAAACAATCATCAGAATCGGGTCGGCTGGTGCGATTGATCCAGAACTCGACATCGGAGATATCGTCATCGCCTCTGGTGCTTGCCATAACTCTAACTTCATGAGCCAATACAAACTCCCTGGCTCATATTCACCTATCGCAGACTTCGAGTTGACTCGAAGAGCAGTTGATGAGGCCGAGAAACAAGGAGCCAAATACAAAGTTGGTAACATCTTCTCTTCTGATTGTTTCTATGATGACGCATTATCGTTGAAGGAATGGAGTAAGATGGGTGTGTTGGCAGTTGAAATGGAAGCTGCTGCCCTTTACGCCATCGCTGCAAGAGCTGGAAAGAAGGCACTTTGCATTTGCTCAATCTCAGATTGCCCATTCAGAAATGTCGCAATGAGCGCAGAAGATAGACAGACTAAATTCACAAAGATGATGGAGGTCGCTTTGTCACTCGCTTAATTTCGATTCTTTTTATTTAGTTAATTTAATATATATGTACTATAAATTGTAATATATTTATATTCTTATATTCTTATATTTATTATATTTTATAGTATAATTAATTAATTTTTAAATATCAGTAATTTTGCTTGGTTTATTTAAATTATTGATATTTTTTATATCATATAATCTAATATACATTTTATACAATATGTTAGTAACTAATTTAAATAAAAATTTTTAATAAAATTTATTCTTTATTTTTACTAGTAGTTATTTTTAAAATAGATTTTTTCAAAATTAAAATATAATTTTTTAAATATATTTATAATATTTTATTAATTAAATATAATATAACGCTTTTTCAAATTGTTTTTTTTTTAGTGGATATTTTAACAATAATTTTTTTTGATAATATAAAATAATATTGTTTTAATTTTTTATATAAATTCAAAATTTGTAGTTAATTTTTATTATACGAAAAAATATATTTTTATGTTTTTAAATTTTTTATTTTTTTTTTAACACTTAAAATAACACCCTTATTTTTGTTTTGACCTGTTTTTACGGGGATATTAATTAAATTTTTGAT